CCCATGCTAGTGGCTTTCACCATAAAATAGTTTTAGTGATTATAACCATTGGATGATTCTTACTTGATATGTGAAGGGTAAAGACTGAAAGCAGGTGTTGGATATTCTATTAACCCGTTTTTATCAAGCGTCTACTTCAGTCTTGGCAATAATAACCAGAGATTGCAGGCAAGCTGTGACTATTACCATTTGCAACTGATTTTCTATATACAGTCAAGATTTTTCTCCATATCATACAAATTCAGAAATACATTGGGTGCTAATATAGTTCACAGCTACCCATTTGCACTAGTCAAAAATGCCCCCCTTGCAACCTCACTGATTTAGGACAGTGTTTTGACTTGAACTTAGACAGTTCATGCTAGTAATATGTTTTATGTATTTGAAAGGTTAAAAGGAAAACCCAAAACACTGGATTATATCAAAACCTTTGATTTTAGTAGCAACTAAGCTCTTTTCCAAGATTTCTGGCTTGGCTAACTCAAAGAGGACCAGGTTAAAGTAACTATTTATCTAAGGCTGTCTTCTAGAAGCACAAGAACACTGAGGGGGAGGGGTCAGGAAAGAATTTTTAATTCAAACTTTGCTACTTATTCATTGGTAACCCCGGATGAGTCTTTGCTGTGCCCTAAGCCTCAGTTTCAACAGAAACCAGGAGGTTGGACTAAATCAGTGATTCTGAACACCAAAACCTTTCTTCAAGTCAGATTTCACCTGGAAGCCTAATACTCAATGGGCCTGGGGGCTCCCTCCCCATGAGGCCTGACAGAACAGCAGGAAAAACATAACACTAATCTAAGGCCCTTCACCTCTAAGTCAGTACTCCAGACCCCCTGCTGTCCCTTCCCACCAGGCCATCTATCTCCCAGACAGACTAAGGGGCTGAGCTGATGGATCCCTCATACCCCACACACTGGTCACAGCATTGACTAGAGAACCTGAACCCAGGGGCTAAACAACTGTCTGTGGGTGAAAATGACACATTTATTTAGTTTTAAATGGTCACTGAGGCTACAGCAGAATCAGTGCTATTACAATAGGCAGGCACTTACTGTCAGAAGCAACACTATTTCGTAACAGCATCCAAGTCCCCTTGGTTACATGTTTGTTTTCTTTTATAAATCAATTGGGAGGCAGTTAAAGGCCAATTTTAAATGCCAATATAAAACAAGTGTCACTGAAAATACAACTGAAATGCAACTGTTATGAGCACTATAAGAACGTTAACTAAGAACTCAGGTATGAATCAAAAGACTACGTGATAAATAAAATACAAGAGCAGCATTTAAAACTTTTAATTCCCATTTTAGAGGGTGCCCTTTCCCCCTCCCATACCTTTCCTGCCTCTGTCCGAGCCTAGAAAGAGCCTGTTTGACTGGGGTTGGCAGCTGGTATCTGCATGGAATGAACTCTACACACAGGAGGGGAACAAAGGGTCGGTGCTGGTTATGTGCTCCGGACAGCGGACAGCGCGGCTCATGTTGGAGAGGCTTAGGAGGGCTGCCTCCTACTCCTGCCTCCAGAAATCTTGTCAGTAACTCAGCTTAGAACACATGTTCTTAGAAAATGTAACTAAGCAGCTGGGACTCCTGCTGTTTTATGCAAAGTTCAGATGGAGAGTCAGGGCCCTGCAACCTCTGGTTATTAGAGCCAGGCCCTTTTTTTAACCCACCCTGCTACTAGCCCTATCTCCGCTGATGCAATTGGGTGGTGCAGCTGGGGACAGGTCACTCAAGCCAGATAATGAAATCCTGAGAAAGCACCTTTAAATCAGTTTTCATTCTTAAAGGGTCAATAGAGGTCAGGGCTAGGGTTAACAACTTCAGCAGGCACGGATCTCCTACTCTCAATGTGCAGCAGCCAAGTATATCAAGGACAATTAATTGCCTGTAATCTTAATTCCCACTTGATATTCTTTGATAGCTAGAAATTACTTAACAAATCCTAAATAACTTCCACTTTGTTCATTCTCCTTTAAATCTGCCACAGTACCTTTTTAATTCTTAGAATATTCTTTGTTAACATAAGAATGAACAGAGAGCATATTAGCAAAATTACTGAAGAAATAATTTTCTATACATTCTCATTAGAAAAACCAGTGGATTAAGGCAGCCTTATCATTTTGGGGACTGGGATAAGGAGGCCAAAGTATAGAAAGAAGGGAAATACTGAATGAGTACCGGGATAGGAAAACTCAGAGCAGCCGAGTTGCTGGTACTACCCCATTCCTTCAGACCAAATTCCTCCACATGATGACGGCCTGAAGAAAGCTGGCCTTGTCCTTGAACCATTCTGCACATACAGCCATCTTCACGGGGCAAGTCCTTGCCTTCAACCCACGCTGTGCAGGTCTCTGCAGCTCTCCACCTGTGGCATCAACAGCCTTGCTAGGTTCTGCTGGTGTTTGAACTCACTGAGGATTAAGCCATTAGACCTCAGAAACAGTAGGGGCTGTGTGTAGACACACCTTGGCTATGAGACAGATACTTTATAAATTGGTCTGAACACAGACTGGTGGGCTCCGTGCTGGACTGAAGGCAGCTGAGACAGCAGCTTCTCCTCCCAGAAGACAGGCTAATTCTCAAACGTGGGTGGAAGGCACTTGCAGCTTTCACACTAGAACCAGCTGAACTGCTTTTAAGTGCTTGTGTTCTAGGCGGAGAGAACATTTATCCAGAAATTGACCCTGGAAAGCCTGCCTCAGAGTTAAGGCCTTCCAAGCAGGTCCCTTTTCAACAAAGCCCAACCAGCACAGCATGGAGATAGTGGGCTGGGGACCCCAGAGCTGAGCACCACTCCACACCAGCCTTCCCGAGGGACGAACTGCGTAACAGTGACACACGGGGAAAGACAATCCCCTCTCTGTGAGGAGGAAGAGCTAGCCAAGATGTGATTAGAAGCTATGGCCTCGCTGGCTGGTTGCATACCTAAGAAACAGGTTCCCCTCTGTGGAGGGAGCAAAGAGATCCCTAGTTAGGCACATAATCCAATCACATCCCATTCAGTTTCTGTCTAAAGTCTCTCATTCAAGAACAGACAAAAGCACTATCTTTTTTTGTTTTGTTAGTCCTCACTAGATTTTCCCCCCCTACTGATTTTTAGAGAGTGGAAGGGAAGGGGAGAGACAGAGACACGTGGATTGGTTGCTTCCCAACTGGGGCAGGGATCCAGCCTGCAACCAAAGTACATACCTTTGACTGGAATTGAACCTGTGACCCTTCAGTTCCCGGGCTGATGCTGTAATCACAGAACGAACCAGCTAGCCATCCCCCCCCCCCCCCAACATCTTTCACTCCACTGGGTAGGGGTGCCCTGAAATCAGAGCAGCAGCAGCAAAAAAAAAGGAGCTTGGAGGCCAGCGGTAGTTTTAATTACTATTGATGCTCAGTTCTTCAGATGAGGAAGAACCACTTGCTTGTTACGGAGCCTGACTGCTGCTTTTTTAGCTTTGGAAGCTAATGTTAGGGGCAAAACCACCATGGAAATGTGTTTCAGTGCTTGGGCGTCATGGTACAGTTCCTTGCCAAGGTCCAGAGTTGAAAAGAAATCTAGTTTTCCTTTGCCAAAGTCCAGGTTCCCAGCAGCACTTCAAACTGTTTCTACGTAAGATGGAAAAGGGATAAAGAGGGGATAAACCAGAAGGAAAAAATCGGAACGTGTTAGCAAACGCTACCATGCGGAACACTAAACTTTATTCACTTTATTTATATATTTAACAGTTCTAAAGTATTTACTTCTTGCTTTGACAAAAAATGAAAAATATAGGAGCACTGACTGACTCCTCTTTAGGAAAAAGGGGTTATATGTACAGCTACGGAGAGTTACGGCTCCTCCTTTACATACAAAGGAAAATATTAAAAAAGTGCTTCATTGATCAAAAAAGGGCTAAGAGCTGCAAGCATTTATTCACACTGTACATCAGACCCAAGAAACCCGTATCATAACCTCTTGGCACCTGTCACTAAGAAATGCACAATATCAGTTAGACTGACTTCTCCCTATCCGCCACTTAGCAGCTTTAGCAGACCCAAGCATGGCCCTACCCACGAAAGGGAGGGCAGGCACAAAACATGGATGCCAACCAAGATTACAATGCACAAACCTAAACTCTCCACCCCTTCCCCATACCCACCTCCACCACAAATATTCTTGATTTAAGGCTCTTTTGGGACCACATCAAAGCTTACTGAGGGGAGGTGCCCTGAATTGCTTACGGGCTGTGTCACTTCTCTAAGGACTGCAGAGTCACCTAGTGGGCCCTCACTGCTGCCAGCAGCACAGGAGCAGGGCAGGAGGAGGAAGGCTGATTGTATGGGACCCGCCCCATTTCCAGAGGCTTGAACTCTAAAAGGCTGATTCTACCCCTTAAGGGGGAGGTCCATGATTTATTTGTTTTGGGAGTGGGGGATTTTGGGAACCCTGAGTCTGGATTTCCATGTGCTAGCCAAGGACGAGATTGTTTGGGGGACCAGGTGCCTGGGCTCAGGGCAGGCTTTGGCCTTGGCCACAGCAACAGCACTCTGGCCAGTCTGCACGTTTATGCCTGAGAGTGGGAAGCATGGGAAGCACGACACAGCCTGGCGAAGGGAGCCATAGATCAAGTTAAACACAATCCCATGGGGAGAGCATGCTGACCACCCATCTCCAGCCCCTCCCCTCTCACTTGCCTCAGAACAACATACACCTTCCTTCCCCCGAAAGCCAATCTCATCTGTCTATAGGTGGGACTGGTCCCTTGCAGGAGGGAGAGGGCACCCAGGGTAACGCTCTTAGGGGAAGATGCTTCCAGCCAGCTCTGCTGTGGCATGAGGAAGGTCACACATGTTAGCACTGGCTCTTCCCCGTACATTATCTCAGGCCTCCACTCCCGACTCTGACCAGCCTCCTTCCATCCTGAGAAACCAAGCCAGCACTCAGCATCGCCTAACAGGCGGCTCTACAGCTACCTGGGGCCTGGCAATCTCTGGTATTCCATTACATTTTTTTTTCCTTTTTTTTTTCCCTCAAGACAACCAGGGGAGCATGGAAAGGGGAGATTAAAAAAAAAAAAAACAGGAAAGAAAAATCAATCTACAATCCAGTGGTACATCCCAAATTTCTGTCACTCTGCACAGGTGGTTCCAAGCCCCCATTCCAAAGTGCACGGGCCTCTCGGTCTGCCAGGCTGCATGGGCCTGTCAGAGGAACAGCAGCTTGGCCTCTGCCTGCCCCAGGTCACGTAGCTTCAGTTTGAAGTGGCAGCAATGGGCTTATCCAGTTCAAGGTCAATGCTGGAGCTCGTGGGATGTAGGCTGCTATAGCAAGACTTGCATACTCGACTGGGTTCAAAGAGCTGCTGGCTGGGAACTGGAACCTTCTGATTACAACAACTGGAGCAGAATACATTCCCACAATTCCTTGAGGTGAGGAGAAGAAACAAAACAAAATTAGTTTTGGTAGCAGATATGGGTGGGGGAACCAACTTCAGAAGACAGGGCTTAGTTGTGTGCAATTCAAATGTGCTGGAGACTCCTCTAAGAGTGAACTTGCATTTGTCTAGCCAAGAAAAAGCCAAGCAGAGAGGGGATCCCTACCTATCAGTCACAGCCTCATCACTATGGCTCAAGGTTATGAGGTCGACAGGAGGATGCTGCTCATGAGAGATCTGTGAAAGCAAATGAGCCCAGGGCAGAAGCAGCTGCTAACTCTATGGGTACGTCCTGGCCCAGAAAAATCCAGTGGCCACACCCACCTGGGCAACAGCCTCTATGTAGCGTGTGATCACAGAGAGGCCAGAGGCCAGTGGAACTCCCATAAGCCCTGCAGATGAGAGAAAATACCCTGCCCACTGGGGAGTGAGGAGCCTTGCCCAAAGGACCACTGCCCCAGAGGCTCCCAGGCAGCAACAGCAACCTGGAGAATAGATTGCTGCCGTCTAGGACTGCTCTGCGCCCAGCATGCAAAGCCAGAGACAAGCAACCAGTGACAGACACATGCTCAGGGTGAAATGACAAGAACACAGATGAACACACATGCCCTTAGTAGATAGGTATCAGTCAATTATGGCTCCCTCCCTGCCCCCATGCAACTCCGGGGACTATCCACTCTGCCTGAAGGCCTGACTTGTACCCAGGCCTCATGCCTCCCCTCTCCTCCACTTGAAAGCCCACCTCTGCACACCCAAACAAGACACCTTTTCACAGCTAACAGGAAAGGAACTGGCAGAGGATGTGTTTCTGCCCACCTTACAAACCCACTTTTGATGGGCCTTACAGGACAAACCAATCCCAATAAGCGAAGAACAGGAGATTCCAAGGAGCTTAACACAGCTCGCCAAAGATTTAGGGAAAGCAGCAAAGGGAAATTCTTAGCCAACATCACTCACTGTTTTTTCATTTACGTTCCTTAGAATGCAAACCCAGTACTGGTTTAAGGACCAGCTAGACACAGAGGAGAGAATACTGAATATCTTTTCAGGACAAAAACCACAAAAGGAAAAGTCTAGGACACAGGGTAATGGAAGGACAGAAAACTAAAACACACAAAACTTTTTCTAGAATACAGTAAGTACTTCACAACTCTGTTCTGAAAAGCATGTCAGCAAGAACCTGTGGTTACACAGAAATATTACCTCAATCTGTTTCTGAATATTTACATTTATTGAACACACCTGCTAGAGTTCAGCTCAAAAGCCTGACATAAATTTGATCAGTTAAGCTTTTCAATCTGACTTCAGGGGATCCTGACAAACCCTATGTGGAGTCTTCCCTTAAAGTCTTCCATGTTAAAACAATTCTCTGGAAAGACAACCTCTGTTCATTTCTGGTCTCTTTAAAAAAAAAAAAAAAAGAGCAGTGATGCTGTTTGACTTAGAAGTCATTAGCATTATTCTGGCATCTCAGAGAATGATTGGCCACCCTCAAAAAAGTCTAAAAATCCAACAGGTTATCCCACAAGACCTGCTGAAGCACCGCTTCTTGTCACAAGCAAGATGGCGGAGTTGACCTGCGCAGTCGGGAGGGGAGTGCAGGGCTGCAGCCTGACTCGGCCCTAATGGTCTGCTCAGCTGGCTGGTTTGGTTCCCGGAAGCCCACCTGCCTGCCTGTGCTCCCAGCCCCAGGTTACATCCCAATGAGTGCAGAGAGGGGGAAATGGCGCGTTAGTGTGAAGTTATTGTAGATATGCAGACATCACAGACAGGTTGTTGCAAATGCTCACCACGTTTGATCAACACGGTCAGTGTCCCTGCAAGGAGGGGAGAAAGAGCTCAGAGGAGAAGCCAACCAAAGACATTTGGGCTTGGGGTGCAGGGTAGGGAGATATATAGTCCTAGAAGTATCATTTCTAGACAAAGAGGTGACTCCATTTTTTGTCTGGGATCACTCACGTGTGTAAGCTATACCACAATTCATATAAACTTCCTATACCAAGAACACTGACCATTCTCTAGTCATCACCCCAGGTGGGGCAAAGCATCAGTAGCAAGTCACTACCCAACCAAGAAGGAAGGAAGAAGTCAGCCTAAAGGACTAGACTGTCCTCCGCTGACCAGCTACTATCCCCAGCTACTTTTGCTCACCACTAGCAAAAGGAAATCAAGTTTGGGGTCAGGAAATAGGATAAGAAGTAGGAAAAATGAAGTTCCCTGCCCACAACTGGAAAACTATTGTGCTCATAGCAGCCATGCTGAATGGGAAGCAGTTTTATTTGAGGAATAAGAAATGGTGATTTGAGAGGTGGCTATTGTTCCACCAATCCAGGAAGCAAAACAAAAAGGGGCATAATTTGCACATTTCAAAATTCAGTCGTGATCATTCTGAACTGGAAGAAAGACACCAAATGCAGTTCTGCAAACACCAATTTCAGAGGCACAAAGTATGAGTTAGAAGTCCTATGGACCAGGGGGCCTGTCTTAAGACAGAACACAGCCAGCCAGATGCCTGCATCTCTCATCTACAGGCTCCATGGACCAAATCTCAACCCCACACCCTGGCCCACCACACCCCCAAGTGGCACCTGCAGTGGTGTTTCCTGCTGGCGAGCCAGAAGGCGCTGTCACACGCATAGCAGTGGGCAGCCAGGTGGTCAGGGAGCCAACGCGTCATCTGTAAAACAGATGGGGCCAGATTAGTAACAGGAAATGGGCCATCCAGCTGTTGCCAGCAGAGCCATGCTGGGGGCAGCAAGAGTCACAAAGACCGTACTGTCTCTGGGGGCACCAGACCAGCAGGTCTGAAGTCAGCAGTACAAGAAAGGCGTCCAAATCATTTTCCTGGAGGGGACTCCAAACTCCCCTGAGATAAAATGGCAGGCAGCAGCAATTGGGTCACTATGAGAGCTGGGAAAGCTCCAGTTCATACAGGCAATGAGGAGAGAGGGCCAGCTCACTGAGTCTCCCTGGCTCAGTAATTCTAGGCTCCATGGGATCCATGGGGATTCACAGACGCGGAGATTCACAGAGGCTCAAGGCTAAGAGTGCTATGAGGTGATTCCTTGCCCAGGGGAAGGGGTTAGGGATGGGGGTGGAGAAGAACTGCGAAACAGTTGCATGGATGGCACTCAGAACAGGGGCTGAGCCTGTACCTCCGTGTCCTGTTTATCCACCTGCTCCCAGCTGGCTTCAGAGAAAATCTCTGTGCTGCAGCGAGACAAAGAGTTCTGATCCAGATTGCTTTCCGAGTCGGGGATTGAAGTCTGTTGGCAAACAAACACAGCTGAAGAGAATGAACCTGGTCTCCTTCCTGAAGAAGAAGAAAGGGCTTGGAAAAGAGGAGGGACCACTGGGGACTTGGGTGGGCCTTGGTGTTAGGGCTGCCGAATCTAGGTACAGAACATCAGCCATCGAGAACTGGGTTGAGCAGGTGCAGAGACAGGGTTGAGCTCAGCTGGAAGAGAGAGACACAGGTCGAAGGCTGTGTGCAGTGATTCTGGGCCTTGGGTTCCAGGAAGTGATTGGGGCAGAAGTGACCAGGATGGAGTGGGAACTCAGTGTCAGCTGCTCCAGTGGGCCTGTCAATCCAACCCTGCCACTTACATCTGTGTGCTGAAACTGAGTGGTTTGGGCCTGTCCTCCTTTCTCTGAAGGACTCTTGGGAAAATGAGAAATCATCATTAGTGTGATGGAAAAACTGAGAAATCAGCTTTAATTGAAAGTCATTGATGAGCCCGCCTTTAATGTACGCTGACTGCCTCAGAGCCAGGTTCACACTTGTCCATCAACACCGAGTACTTGAACATTAGCACACCCAGGAAGAGAGCCTCCTTGATAATCTCCCCTCAGGTACCCCCACTTCGTTACCAGGCCCCGTCACTGCTAACTTCACAGCGCTAGAAATCAATCACTTCTCCATTTCTACTGCCATCACCTGCCAGAGTAGATATATGTTAAAAAAGAACTAAACCTGCGCCGGTACAGCCAGGTGGGGTGGGTAGGTGGGTGGGTGGTGCTACCAGGATAGGACAAGCACTACCGTTTAATAGGAATAGTTGACATTACCCTACAAATGTCATTCTGCCCAGGAGTTTATGCCCTTAACTATGATCCTCCCTCCAAAGAGTCTTGACTGACCATGTATGAGTGCTCGCTCTCTCCCTTATTCTCACTGCTCACTAGGACCCCGTGGAAAGTAAGCCAGGCAGAAAAGAAAGAGGCAGACTGCCACTCGCATGGCTGCCTTTCCAATTTGAGAAATCTGTACAGTCACCAGGCACCCGTCACAAAGGGTGTGCAGCCTCCGTGCGCCCTGCCTCCCAGGCGGCTGTGAAGCGCGGGGTACTCACCACCTCGTCCCCGAAATCCCCGTTGAAGCGCAGGGAGCTGGTCAGGTACTGGCTCTCCAGGCGACTCCTCAGCTCCTGGACTTGTTTCTTCAAGGTCTCCACTTCCTGCTGGTGGCCGGATTCGATCTGACGCAGGCGCTGCTGGATGGTGTCCGTGTACACGGGCATGCCGTCGTCGTCCAGGTGGCTGCGAGACGGCTGGTCAGGGCTGCCCGTTGCAGGTGGCCTCCCTGTCTGGCTATGTAGCCACTTGTGGTGCAAGTTCCTCGAGTGTAAGTGGGCAGAGCTGCCGCTTATAGCAGAGAGCTGGCAGCTCAGTGAGTCCTTGCTCCTACCAGCCTCCCCATTGGCGCAATGCCCGTTGGGGGTGGGGTACTCCTGGAGGGTGCTAAGCCCTGGGTGCTGCTCGGAGGCCTTATTTTCAGTCTCTGGGACACCGTTGCACACAAGTCCCTCTTTACATTCAGCTACAGGCAAGGCACAAGGAGAACGTGCTGGGCTGTGGGTGCTGCCAGGGGAAGTCCTCTGCACCACAGATCCCACTTGGGGCCTCTCGGCCAGGCTCTTCTCTGGAGGCCTGGGTTCTACAGCTTGAGGAAGCACGTCCTTGCCACTGAGCCTGCCACTGTTTACCAGGAAAGGTCTATGAGGAGGCCCACTTTCTGACTTCACTTTATCTTCCATTAACATGTCCAAAGAGCTGTCTATGTTTGGTCCTCTGCCCTCAAATGGGACTTGCGAGAGCAGCGGAGAACTTGACTCTGAGGTACCATAACCAATTTTTTCATCAACTGGGATTGTAGTCATTGCCTCCTCCCTCTCCTCTGCGATATCTCCTATTTGAGGCTGTTCTACAGGGACCTCCAGTACCCCCTCTCCCATGGGGGGCTCCTGGAGAGTGCTGGGAAGAACACTGTGCCCGCCCTGCTCATCAGGAAGACCGATGCCTGGAGGGCTCCTCAGAACAGCAGGATCCAGCGGTGGTGCTTGAGGAAGGACAATGCCTGAGTCCTCAGGGGCCTGCGCCCTGCTTTCCTTTTCTAAGAGAGCCTCCTCTGTGACCTCCTGCATCAGGACGCCCCCCCTCTGGACAGTCTCCTCTGCCCCACTCTCCTCTTTGGTGGCCTCTTGCAAAATGTTCTCCATCTGCCCCTCGGCCACTCCAGCTGCAACAGATAGTTCTGCGCCTCCCAGCACTTTGGTTGGCTTGCCCAGGCTGTCGGGATCAAGCGGCTCCTCTCCAGGACCAGCCAGGCTGCTTAACTCCAGGGAGCGCCTGTGCTGGTGCTCCTGCCACTTCTCATTCAGGCTTGGGTCGCTACTGCGCCGGCTGGCTAGAGGCACCGTGTTGTCGCAGGCTGTGGTCAGATTGTCAAATGATCTAGTCTTTGGTAGCCTAAAACAAAGGATGTGGGGGAAATGAGACTCTGAGGCTGCTCAGATGGAAAGTAGGAAACAACAGATTTTAACAGGTTGTCATTTCACAATTGGGTCCATTATAACTACTCAAGGAGCTCTGGCCTCTCTGAAGTGAGGCTCAGACTGCTAGAAAGGCAAAGCTCCAGGACCAAGCCTTCTGTAAGTCTGCAGACTTCCTCCTGCACACCCTCTACCCCAAAATACACAAAGAAGCTGACAAATGCTACTTTAAGAAGTCGTCCTTGTGCTCGCTTCGGCAGCACATGTACTAAAATTGGAACGATACAGAGATGAGCATGGCCCCTGCGTAAGGATGACAGGCAAATTCGTGAAGCGTTCCATATTAAAAAAAAGAAAGAAAAAAAAGTCGTCCTTTATGATACTGTTTCTCAACTACTGGCAAAGGAAAGTGAGTGCTGCTAATTTCCTAATATCTCTCATTTTAAATATATTTATCAGTCTGAATTCAAAAGAGTTAATTCAGTGGCTGAAACTCAGGCCAGAGGGTCACAACAACATCACTAAGAACTGCTCAGTGCCTGCAGCAGAGTGATGTAGTGGCAGGGCCCAGTGAGGCTCTTAAATACAGCTAGTGGCCCTAACCCTATACCTTTCCTGAGGGAACTTCAGAGATCTAAGAAAACGTGTGGAGCCAGCCAATGTCAGGATCTCTGACCAACCCTGGGTATCCTAACAGGAATACACCACACAAGACTTCAGGCCTTGGCATCAACTCTGGGCTCACCGGCTCAGGAGTGGATCATCAGGGCTGCTGCCAGGGGCTGGGTATGGTGCACAGCTGTCATCCACAGGGGTGGACGGGGATGGGCAGGGCAGGTACACTGCACTCCACAGCATCAGGTTACGCACATGGCACACGGGGTACAGCACCTGAAGAGAGAGTAGAGGACGCAGGTTTTAACAAGTCCTTTAGAGATGTCTAGAAATAAAGGTCAAGAACAAGCACCATGCTTGAACAACAGCAGTTTTTGGCAAATCTCCAAAGGAAGTTAGCATCAGTGGATACAAGTCTATGTCCCTAGAGGGCCTATATAAGATTAGAGTTTTGGCAACATTTTTCACCTGAGAGGCTCCTGTAAGCATGAACACTTGAAGTGTTTTTTTAAAAATCCATTTCTCAGGTCACCTTTACTGACTGACTGACTCAGCAGCTTAATTTGTTGCTTTTTCTACATAAGCGAGTCATTTCACTACATGGTGACCGTTCTCTGGTACAAAAACTTGGCTTCAGAAGACATTGACTATTTTATAGGATCATTTTAATTAATCATGTGAAAAGGAGGGAAATTTCTTCCTGTATTGTTACTTCCCCAACAGGCACAGTAAAGGAGAGAAGCAGTTATGTCACATCTTTCCTCTCTACTTAAATGTGGTGAAAAGCACAATAATAGTCCAGCAAAGCAGTAAAACCTCTGACTAGCCTCCTTTTAACTTCTTTAGAATTTAAGATGCATTCTGACAAAAGACACTACCGTATATCAGCACACTGATGTGAGTGCCTCCTTTTCTCTGCTTAACAGAAGGTGTTCCTTTGAGGAACAAAGTCTTAGAGGGCCTGCCAGTTCTCCATGTAAGCACAGAAATAAAGACACGCATGCTAACGTCATACAGTTTCTGCTCTCTGGAACAGACGCTGCTGTGGCTATCACCACCGGATGACACTAAGGGTGCTGGGGGACAGGTGGCAGCTCCTTCTGAGCTACCAGGGGCACCCAGGGACAACTCCAGTGCTTCTGCCACTCATTGGACAGAACATGCTAGGAGTAAGTTAGCTCTGGCGGAGGTGCCAGGAAAGATTCATGTTTACAGTGGCAGAGATGTATATGAAATCAGACCACCCTGAATAAAATGTCAGAAGCAGGTCAGAGCATCACTAGAAAACAGGTCTTTCTCTCAGGACAAAGTGATAGGAAGAACATGAACCAACCCATCCAGAGACCGCAGAGATGCCTTTGAGAAAAGTTACTACTCAAAAAAGGTTCTTAAATGTCCCCACCAATAAATTCCTTCTGCTGATCAGAGAGGAGAGACTGAAGGATACATACGGCTTCTGACTGAGAGGAATACAGTAGGTTTTTGAAAGCCTTGTTGCCTGCCCGAAGCAGCGACCACACAGAGCATGTCCGTTCCTGAGTATGCTTTTCCCCTCTCTCCTTGGCGTTGTTGCACAGGAATGTTCCAAAGAGGCAGGAATAGGTATGTTGCACCAGTTTCACCTATGGGAGTCCAATGAGGCAAAATCAAGCAATAAGGTACATATTCTCTGGGGAAAGTTCTTCCCAGACATCCTTGAGAGCACTTCCGTTCACACTCGGTAAGAATGGGAGAAGCAAGTAAAACCACGCAATAGCCACCTCCTAACAGCACCAATTTCAGAGTGCCAGCCCCAACCACCATGACTCCTAAATCAAAAGAGCAAAGACGGATAATTGGCATACCCACTCCTCTTGCCTCCCCGACAGTCTCTGAGGTCCTAAGTTAAAGTCACTCTCAAGCTGAACCGGTTTGGCTCAATGGATAGAGCGTCGGCCTGTGGACTGAAGGGTCCCAGGTTCGATTCCAGTCAAGGGCATGTACCTTGGTTGCGGGCACATCCCCTGTAAGGGGTGTGCAGGAGGCAGCTGATTGATTTCTCTCATTGATGTTTCTAACTCTCTATCCCTCTCCCTTCTTCTCTGTAAAAAATCAATAAAATATATTTTTTTTAAAAAAGTCACTCTCAAGAGTGACAGAGCATATAAACTGCATACAGGAGCAGGTTAGTGTGCAACCCAAGTCTGAACTGGGAGCACACTTCTAAATGGCTTTTCATTCAACAAGTGGTTCCTGAGCATCTCACATACTCCAGACGTTTCTATAGGACTGATATACATCAACTAGAGGCCTGGTGCACGAATTTGTGCACTAGTGGGGTCCCTTGGCCTGGCCTGCAGGATTGGGCCGAAACTGGCTCTCCAACATTCCCCAAGGGGTCCTGGATTGCAAGAGGGCACAGACCAGGCCAAGGGACCCCACCAGTGCACGATTGGAGCCAGGGAAGGATGCGGGAAGTTGGCCAGCTTGGAAGGTAACATGGGAGGGCTCCAGGGTATGTCTGGCCTGTCTGTCTCAGTCCCGATCGGCCGGACCCCAGCAGCAAGCTAACCTACCAGTTGGAGCATCTGCTCCCTGGTGGTCAGTGCACGTCATAGCGAGCGCTTGAGCAGCCTTAGCATATCATTAGCATATTACGCTTTGATTGGTTGAACAGCCGACTGGACAACTGGACACTTAGGATATTAGGCTTTTATTATATAGATTAATCAAGTAGGGCCGAAACTGGTTTGGCTCAGTGGATAGAGCGTCAGCCTGCGGACTGAAAGGTCCCAGGTTTGATTCCGGTCAAGGGCATGTACCAGGGTTGCGGGGGCATCCCCAGTGGGAGATGTGCGGGAAGCAGCTGATCGATGTTTCTAACTCTATCTCTCTCCCTTCCTCTCTGTAAAAAATCAATTTTAAAAAAAATCAAGTAGGTCTCCTACCCTGACAGAGCTTATTCTAGTTGGGAAAGAGGAATGACCAGTGGTATGGACAATAATAAGGTAGAGTAAGAGGGGCAGGGCAGGGTGGGACAGCCTCCCTGGCCCAAGACTTGACAGAATGAAGAGAGGTCATGTGGGTATCTGGAAGGGAAATGCTCAGCAGAGGTGACAGCAAGCACAATGGTCTTAAGGTGAGTGTATGCTTGTGATTTCTGAGGAACAGACGGAGGCCAGAATGACTAAAGGACACTGCATAAGAAGAATGGCAGGAAATGAAGCTACACAGATAACCTCTGAGGGAGACCTGCAGGCCATCATTAAGGACCTTTACTCTGTACAATGGGAAGTTGGAGGTTTTTCAGCAGAGGAGTAACATGGTCTGTATTATGCTTTAGAAGGATCCCTTTGGCTGCTGGGTTAACTCTCTTAAATTGGGGCAGGAGGTGATGGTTTAGACGAGTGTGAAAACAGTGCAGACAGCAGTAAATCAGGTTTTAGGTGTATTTTGAAAGCAGAGCTGCAGAATCTGCTGACAGACTAAATTTGGAATGTAAAAGAAAGAGAGGAAATACAGATAGAGAAGCAGCCTACAGGCTGGGCCTGGGGCATTCCAAAACTCAGAACTGGGCAGATAAAGAGCAACTGGCAAAGGAAGCCGAAAGGACCGGCTAGTGAGGTAGAGGAGAACTAAGATACAGTGCATGCTGGAAGTCATTTCTTCTAAGTGTTTCAAGAAAGTGATTGAACTGCCAAATATTAATGGATCAAAGATGAAGACAGTCAAATGGTATAAACTTCCAGTTATGAAATAAGTTATGGAGATGTAATATACAGCGTGGTGACTATAATTAATTAATACTGAATTGCATATTTAAAAGTTGAAAAGTTCTTGTTACAAAAAAATAACTGTATGGTGATGGATGTCAACTAGAATTATTGTGGTGCTCATTTCACAATATACACAACTATCAAATCATTATGTTGTTTACTGAAACTAATTATGTTACACATCAATTACTCCTCAATTTAAAAAAAGAGATGAATGTACACAGACTGATGGAATTTTAAATAAATGGGAATTAAGTATTTTTTAAAAGATGAAGACTTAGAGCTTATCACTAGATTAGTAACATGAAGGTCACTACGCACCTTAGTAAGAATGGCCCTGATAAATTAGTGGGATGAACACCTGATTGGAGTAGGTTTAAGAGAAAATGGAAAAATAAGATTTTGAGATAGTAAATGTAGAAGACTTGAGCTCTACGTGAGGAAATGAAATAGCTAGAGGGGGCTGTAGGACTAAGAAAAGTGTATGAGAGCCACTACACTTTAAACCAACTCCAAGACTATACAAACCTAGTACACCTAGATTCAAGGAATAAACACTTGTTTTTTACTGTTGTTTTAATTTTGTAAATGGGAGAAAGGATGACCCCTCTTAAATTCTAAAAAGGATACACAGATTCAAGTGAAAATGGCCCACTACCATTTGTATTGATACCCCACGAATTTAGAAGGTCCCCAAAATGAAGAACCACATGCCCAAACTCACAAGGAATGCTTCATTGAACTCAAAAGAGCAAGGAAATTGCCTCTGAAGCTGATGCACACAGTCCAGCCACTGCAGAAACACTGGGCAGCGCTCGTTGAGATCATCAGAGTTCTCCCCATGACCACACCGATCAGCAAACTTGTGACCAAAATCCAGCCACTCCATCTCCACGAGGACCTGGAAACCCTGCAGGGAAGCACACAAGAAAGACCATCTGTGCTTGTCTGTCCAGGCTGTGACAGTCCTGGGCCTGGTATCACCAGCTTGAACCCTTCAGCAGCCCCCGACTAAGCCCATCAGAAGCAGCCCTGGATCCAGCCTCGAGGCCGAAGGCTGCATCCCTGATAAGATAGGTTTAAGCCAACTCCCCATTCCCTCAACTTCGTTCCATAATCATCAAAAGGGTACTAAGCCTTTCTTGCGTTAATGTATATTTTTAGCCTCTTTCACTCACTATATGAAAGTCACTATTTTTTTAAATATATTTATTGATTTTTTTACAGAGAGGAAGGGAGAGGGAGAGTTAGAAACATCCATGAGAAAGAAACATGGATCAGCTGCCTCCTGCACACCCCCTACTGGGGATGTGCCCGCAACCAACGTATATGCCCTTGACCGGAATCGAACCCAGGACCCTTCAGTCCACAGGCTCATGCTCTATCCACTGAGCCAAACTGGTCAGGGCTGAAAGTTACTATTTTTGCCCTAACTGGTTTGGTTCAGTGGATAGAGCGTCAGTCTGCAGACTGAAGGGTCCCGGGTTTGATTCTGGTCAAGGGCACATTCCCAGGTTGAGGGCTTGATCCCCAGTAGGGGCTTGCAAAAGGCAGCTGGTTAAAGATTCTCATCATTGATGTTTCTATCTCTCTCCCTTCCTCTCTGAAATCAATAAAAATATAGTTTTTAAAAAGTCAATATTTTCCCCTAAATTTTTTTTACTTTTTAATTTCTGCCTTTCATATTATACCTACAAAGAAAGTAATGTTTGTAAAATCTTTCCTAACCTCTGATTTACATATATTTTAGGGTACATTTATGGTTTTTCTTACATCTTTAAGCCATCAGCAGGTTATTTCAGAGGAGAGCTCTTTCTCCACAGAATACTGTGGTAATATTTATGACATAAGTATACCAAGATCCTTCTACAGAAGCCCCATTTTCGTGGGTCAGGGAAAACTTTTCCAAGTAGGTAGAATACAAAGGAAAATATGCTATATTCTCAATACTTTATTATCTAAATCTGCGCAATTTAAGAGGCAAGAACTGGTAGGCACCACCACAATTTAGCTCAAGGTAAAAGAGCAATGACTTAAAACAAGAAAATTTCACTTTCATTAGACCTATCCACACAACCAAAACTGATCATAAAACCCTCTAATGTGCCCCCCACTCACCCTGAAGTACCAAGTCCTACTCCTTGGATGCACCCACCTCTATGGTTCGGTAATAAGGGTCCAGCAAGAGCTTAGCCAATGCCACAATCTGGGGGGTGCGGTCCCAGCCATCTGAGCAGTGCACTAGCACTGGTCGCTGATCACGATCCACAGCATGCACTACCAAAAGTGCCGACTTCAAAAGCACAGACAGGTGATGGAGCCATTTTGTACTTTCAAGAGCTGAGAGCCAACTATAAAGATAAAAACAGAAGGGGATAAGGGAATGCTGACTCTTCTGATTACGTCACTGTGTCATGTCAAACACCCATCAAATTAAACAATTCCCAAAGACTTTCCCTTCAAATAAACATTGCCAGAGCAAACAGAAAACCTGTCTGTGTCTTTATAAAACATGTACAAAGATGATGCCCAAACCCTACTATGTAATAGAGCAGTGGTCGCCAACCTTTCAGACCTCACGGACCACCGGCTGGCAACTGCTGCAATACAGGAGAGCCTTAGAAATAGGGCAGTCATCAATAGGATCACCTTTTGTTTCAAAAATCTTATGGCTAATTTCCCAGAAAATTAATATTTAATATTTTTCAGTCTGTGATAGGTATATACCCAGTTTAAAAAAACATAGTTCTGGAATCTTCTCGAAGAAAATACAGCCACTTCTGAGATGTAAAACAAGATATTTAGATATTTATATTTAATGATCAGCAACTTTATCCAACAAGTTTTCAAAAAAAAAGTACAGGAAATCCGTTTAACAGAGACTGGATTCAGCCGGGATCCACAAGACCCTTTTTTCAAAAGGCCTTTAGGAAGTATCAAATCACAAGAATTGCCCCTTGAGAGTAATCACAAGCTGATCACACTTGTCTTTTAACTGTTGACAGTTTGTTTCTTGTGATGAATTCCACCCTCCCTTCCCCCCATCCCCCCCCCCCCCAAAAAAGCTCTCTGATTTCTCCAAAATGCAATCAGATTTGTACTAAGACCACAGTGTAGCCCTTCAAACACTGAGTCAGAGGAGGAAATAAGCACTTCTGCTAGGGAGCTCTGAGAGGGCTGTTGCCAAGACTACTATAAACA